ACTCTAGACCCAGAGGGACTCTGGGTATGGATCCAGACCCCCTGGGTTAACTCAACAGCCAAAGGCAGGCAGTCCCATGCTTACCACTACTTAGTCCTGCCAGGTTTCCACAAAACCTGCTGTCGGGGGTTGGCACTGACTTTACAAAGCTCAACAGGCTCTCCTTTTATTAAGCACATGTACCCAGCAAGTCACTCAGACTTCTCTCGGCAAAGGCCACTTCATTTCCAATCTGAACCCAGAATATTTATAGAAAGCTGCCAGATAAACATCACTCAATAAAGCAGATTTATAAAGAATGTTCCCCTATAAAGAAGGGGAAAAAGAAGGTTAACAGCCCCCACCCCCAGAAGAGGTTTAGGGTTGCAGATGAGAGCACTCTTGTCAGGGTACATGGCTGAGCATGGTGACTAGTCAGCACGAAGCTAACCTCCTCCACCCAGCCAGCATAACCCACCCGATGATCAATTCCTCCTCAAAGATAGAAAACACAGATTCATCCCAAATGATCCTTAACATGCTCTTTGATGATGGCCAAGAAATCCTGGCCAGGTCCAGGTCGGATCCCTTTCTCCTATGCCAGGATTTATCCCCTCCTGGTGACCAGGGATCTCCAGCCAGGAAATCAAAAGGAAATTATAACCAAGCAATAAACATAAGCTCTGATGCTTTTGTCTCAAATGAGGACACCAGCTATGCTAAAATGGTTCACCTTTTTAAAATATCAACTCTTTCTTGGAAAGGCTTTCCCCTAAAGAAAAGCAAAAATATATTTCACCAACATCAATAAAAAAGAATAGGCTAAGTTTTCCTGCACACTGCCTTTTCCATGTAGTGTTTAAAGTCAGGACAATACAAAACCTGAACACTTTACATAAAGAAAAATCATACTGGTGTTTAAAAGACTAATTTAAAGAAAAATAGATAATAATTTGCAAATGTCACTTTAATGTTAAATATTATATTCTTCATTAGGTATTTTTTTCATTCAACTTAAGCGGTTATTAATGATTCATATATCAAAATTGTAAGGGTCATATAAAAAGATTTTTAAGCATTGCCAGTTGCTTTTTAGAACTATAGGAATAATGAATGATATCTTTATTTCAGAATATTTTCCACTACATCATAATGAACAAGAAGCTCAGTGTTCAGTTTTAAGCCAAAGGAGGGGCCGGACATGACGGCTCATGCCTGTAATTCCAGCACTTTGGGAGGCTGGGGTGGGAGGATCACTTGAACCCAGGAGTTTCAGACCAGCATGGGCAACATAGCAAGACCCCATCTCCACAAAAAATACAAAAATTAGCTGGGCATGGTGGTCTGCACCTATAGTCCCTGCTACTTCGGAGGCTGAGGCAGGAGGATCGCTTGAGGACAGGAATTTGAGGTCACAATGAGCTATGATGATGCCACTACACTCAAGCCTGGGCAACAGAGCAAGGTCCTGTCTCAAAAAAATAAGCAAACAACAACAAAAAAGCAGGGATTAAATTAAAAATGCAATTTGAATTGTATATCTATCTATCTTTTTTTGTGAGACAGAGTCTCACTGTGTTGGCTAGGCTAGAGTGCGGTGGTGTCAGCCTAGCTCACAGCAACCTCAAACTCCTGGGCTCAAGTGATCCTTCTGCCTCAGCCTCCCAAGTAGCTGGGACTACAGGCATGCGCCACCATGCCCGGCTAATTTTTTCTATATATATATATTTTTTTTTTTTTTAAGTTGGCCAATTAATTTCTTTCTATTTTTAGTAGGGACGGGGTCTCGCTCAGGCTGGTTTTGAACTTCTAACCTTGAGCAATCCTCCCGCCTCAGCCTCCCAGAGTGCTAGGATTACAGGTGTGAGCCACCAAGCCCGGCCTGTATATCTATCTAAATACAAAAGTGAAAAAAGCATCCTAACTGCAGGCAACATTACCCAGACTCATCCCTCTTACAGCTAAAATTTAACATTTCAACTCTTCCAGGCCCAGAATCTACCCAGAACTGACTTTGTGTTTACTTTTGCCAAAGTGTATTAAATTAGGAAGGAAAAGCATAAACTTTAATTCATAATCCAAGGCAAAAATCTGAACTTTGGTTTAAAAAATGAAAATCTATTAGCTGATACACCATACTCCAATCCTTTAGACAAGCAACATATCTAACCCCAAAGACAGATCCCAAACAAAAAACAGACTAAGGGCCAGCGTGGTGGCTCACGCCTGTAATCCTAGCACTCTGGGAGGCCGAGGCTGAGGTCAGGAGTTCAAAACCAGCCTGAGCAAGAGCAAGACTCCGTCTCTACTATAAATAGAAAGAAATTAATTAACCAACTAACATATATAGAAAAAATTAGCTGGCATGGTTGTGTATGCCTATAGTCCCAGCTACTTGGGAGGCTGAGGCAGAAGGATTGCTTGAGCCCAGGAGTTTGAGGTTGCTGTGAGCGAGGCTGATGCCATGGCACTCTCTCTACCCTGGGCAACAAAATGAGACTCTGTCTCAAAAAAAAAACAACAAATTCATCCAAGTTACAAAAAAAAAAAAACAAACAAAAAAAAACAGCCTAAGTTCAAACTGACTGCAGGACACTAGCTCCCAGCAAACTCCGTGGCCAGAAACAGAGACCTGAGATAGAGACATGTCTCAAGTCCAGGGCTCAGGAACTATTATCAGACAGCAGGATAAGACATGACAACGAATAAAAGGAAAGGTCTGGACTTAAACAGTATTCCCTCCCTTCTCCTAAAACACACAACTCAGGGCCTCATCAACAGGATTGGTAAATTCACCAACTCTTCCCTTTGCCCTGGGCACCCCTGGAGCTTGCCTGGAAGGGCTGCTGCTCAAGGGAAAGTTAGGGACACAATTCTTAACACAGAGGCACAACCTCAAGGGTAGTATCATTTTCCACTTTTAAAGTCTTTACCCTAAATTGAAATAGGCAAGGCCACTCTGAAATGATTCAGCTACTAATGAAATAGAAAGCCTGCAATTACTTTTCCTTCCCTTCCAACAATGTAGAGGGTGATCCTGGAAACAGGCCTCCTCCACGTCCATGACTGGAAAGGGCATCCCTGGGGCCCCAAGTGCCCCTGACAAGTGTTTTCAGAGACACCAGAATGTTATTTGACCTAAGGGACATTTCCCTGTCTGCTCCTGCCATTTGTCATTGAAAAAAAATAATGCTGCCAACCACCCCCAAAATGACCTTTTCACAAGTGGACTTAGTTTTTAACTGGTGACAGAAAGTCACTCATGAAAAGCCACTCCTTGTACAGATAGATATGCAGTGCAGAGGCCTCCACCCTCCCCTGCCACCCATATAGTGACAGCAGGCAAGGCTAAGAGCAGTCCTGGAGGGACCACAGCAGGGAGGGCTGGGCACAGAAGGCGGCCAAGGGCAGGTGAGGCCCCAACCACACCCGACACCCGGAAGCACCAGGTTTCGAGGCTGAGCTAGTGGCAGCTACCAGGCAGGGAGCAGGAAGCAGGGAGCAGGGAGAGCTATTACATTGGGCACCAGGCAAGCCTGAGTCCCCCTGGGCCAGGCCAGGGCCAACTAGGGGCAGTCTGTAAGCGCCCAACCCAATACTTCCAAACCCAAGTGGAACTCCCTGACCTCAAAGCCCACGAAACACGAGCCCTTCCGGTCCCTAAGCTCGCCCCCAAACCTCGGGTGCAGGTCTTCCAAGCCGACCTGCCACCTCCCAGAAATGCGTGTACGGGGTGGCAGGGAGGGAGGCACAAACAGACTTAAGGAAACCCTCATCGGGAGCGATCACCCACCACAGAGGAGGGGGCTGGGGATGCCGCACCAGAAAAGTGGTCAGCGCGGGGGAGGGAGGTCCGTTCCCTGAGTTGGTCGGTAGCACCTTGGCCTCGGATGTCCGCGCTGCGGGAATGCGGTGGCCGGCCACGCTCCTGCCCTGAGTCGCTGCGGTGGCCCCACCCTAGCCATGACCTCCCCCAACACCCCAGCGCCTGGGACCTCCCGCTGCGGCCCCCAGCGCGCAGCCCAGACACCCATTGTGCCCCCAGGACAATGCACCTGGGTCCCGAGCACCGCCACCCCTCGACCCTGCACAGCGCATCCGGCCCTGCTCCGGCCACCGTGGGCACGAGCCCCAGGCAGGCGGCGGGGACGCAGCGCCCGCAGTGCGACTGGCGCAGCAGCCGAGGCGCAGGGCGCGCAGCCGGGACCCCGACCCCGCGGCGCTGGGAGGGCGGCGCGGGGAGGGCTGGCGGCACCGGTGGGGAGCCGCACCCCCGGCGGCGCGGAGGCTGCTGGCCCAGGAGCGCTCCCCCGCGGGCCGGGTGCCGGGCGGAAGACCTGTCCCGGATTCGAGAGAACGCGGGTGGGGAGGAGATAAGGATGGGGACGTGAACTGGGCTGAGGTATGGAGCAAGCCAGGTTCGGGAAGAGAGGGCTGGGGCACTGGCACGAGGATCCTCTTCGGACACAGGGAAGGAGGGGTCTGTCCGGGCCCCGGGACTAGGAAATGGGGGTTCCCTCTAGAACATGGGGAAGTGGGGCGAGGGTCAGTTCTGAGCGCCGAGGAGAGCTGGGGAGGTCCACTCCCAGCCCAGGACAATGGGGGAAGGGAGTGGGCAGGAGGGGACGAGGGAGGCACCCTCGGTGCAGGGAGGGGGACCAAGAAACAGTGAGGAGGGGGCCCACAAGGTGCAAGAAGGGACCATCCAGGACACGGATGAGGAGCGGGGCCGTTCTGGCCGCGGGCAGCGAGAGAAGGAAAGTGCGCCCGAGAGTAAGAGCAAGAGGATGAGTCTTGGACCAGGGCTGGGGCGTGGGGGTCGGACCCGCCCCAGAGGTAGGGCGACGAAGGTCTGTCCAAGACGCGGAGTAGAGGGAAGGGGAGTCGGGCAGCCCGAAAGAGGGCTCTTCATGCACAGGTAAAGGGGGGCTGTCTCCGCAGGGGGACCGGCAGGAGGTCAGTACGGGGGACGAGGGGACAACGATGCGGGGGGCGTCTAGCCCAGGGCGGGGGCCGCTCACCTTGGGTTTATACAGCCACTTTCGGAACCTGTTCATCATCGCCGTGCCGGCCCCAGCCGGGCTCCGGGCGGCCTCCGCCCTCCGCAGCGCTGCGGCCGGGCCCGGCTGCGGCGCGGGGCGGACGCGGAGGGAAAACCGAGCCGGGGCCCCCGCGCGGTCCCGGGGCGGCTGGGTTCTAGCGGAGCCTGGAACGTCAGCAGGAAACTGGCAGGTGCGCGGGGTAGGTGCGCGGCCAGGAGGATGCTCTGCCAGCGGCGCCGGGGAGGACCCTCAGAACGGCGGGCGGCGTGTGGGCGCACCGGCTGACCGACAGGCGCAGCTCGGGGGCGCGCGGCTCCTCCTGGCTCGCCGGCACCCAGCGCCTCAGTGGTCACAGCGCTGCACATGCGCCGAGGGCGCCGCGAGCCCCCGGCCCGCCGAGAACAGCGGGCGGGGCCGGCCGGAGGAGGCTGCCCAATCCCCGCGTCCGCGCCGCGCCCCGCCCCCGGCGAGGCCACCCTACGCGCCCGCGGGCCCGAGAAACTACAAGTCCCGATGGACATTGCAAGAGGCGGTGCCCTAGCCGCGGCGCCCTTCGCCGTGCGGCGGGCGATGTGCATTATGGGGGTTGTAGTCTTCGCGCCGACGGCGCCGGAGCGTGCTGCAGGTTGCTAGGTGACGGCGCCCAAACGGAGTCCCCGCCGCGTCCGCCCCCTTCCCTGGTGGCTGCCGGGGTCTTGGCGCACCCGGAGTGAAGACAGGGACCGGCTGCGATTGCCAAGATAACTGCGGGGCAGGTGGAGGCGCGAAGGGACAGTTCGGAGGTCCCCAGCACCTGCGGAGCTGTCAGACAGGTGCCGGCTACAGGTATTCGGCACAGGTACAGGTGCGGAGCGGGAGATCCGGAAGGGAGGAGGGCGAGGCACGCTGCCCACCTCATCAGCATCTTCTCACCGACAACTTTCCGTTATCTGCAGGCCAGTTCTCATCTCCTTGTTTCACATCTTGCTTTCGCTAACCACCTTTTTGGTCTTTTTCTGTGTTCCCTGATTAAAGTTAACGGTGCTTTTTTTCTTTTTCTTTTCTTTTTTTTTTTTATCGCCACAATAAACGGTGCTTTTTAAAAACATTTTCTCCCGCACTCACTACTTCCCCCAACAGTGCCCTAATTTGGATCTATAAAAAGGCTGCCCAAACTCTGAGTATCTATTATGTGCCAAGCAGAAAAACAAATATGTGGTCTCACTTAAAATTCCCATTTAGAGTTGAAGACACTGAGGCACAAAGAGGCCGACATGACTTGGCTGTAGTGTGTGGATCCTGGTCAGTGGCAGGTGTGCCTGCCTCCGGCAGCGTGCTTTTCTCTGGCATGCTCTGAAATGTGCAGATTTAAGACAGGAGAGGGAAGTAATGTCTTCCTTGGTATAGAATTAAGAAGCTCCCCCACTCCTTTTCATGACTTGCCCAATGTCCTGGTGCTCAGATGGTTCCGTGCACTCCCTGACCACTCTCAGCCGTTAAACTCAATTTGAATCTAGGCATGGTGACATCTGAGATTTCCCATATGTGGTGGCAGTAGTCTGTGTTTATTTTTGGCACCTGATTTTCCCTGCTCTCCTTTATTTTTTTTTTTTATTTTTTCATTTTTTTTGAGACAGAGTCTCACTTTGTTGCCCAGGCTAGAGTGAGTGCCGTGGCATCAGCCTAGCTCACAGCAACCTCAAACTCCTGGGCTCAAGCAATCCTGCTGCCTCAGCCTCCCGAGTAGCTGGGACTACAAGTATGCGCCACCATGCCCGGGTAATTTTTTCTATATATATTAGTTGGCCAATTAATTTCTTTCTATTTTTAGTAGAGACAGGGTCTCGCTCTTGCTCAGGCTGGTTTCGAACTCCTGACCCCGAGCAATCTGCCCGCCTCGGCCTCCCAGAGTGCTAGGATTACAGGCATGAGCCACTTCGCCCGGCCCCTGCTCCCCTTTAGCTACCACCCAGTCACTGCTCCCTAAAGAGAAAAATCCCCCAGAGTAGCACTTTATCTCTAAGTCCTTTCCACCTGTTCTTTCTTGAACTTACTCCAATCATATTTTCACCCAACCACTCCTTTGAAGCTCTTTATCAAAGTCTTCCTTGACCTTGATGTTGTTAAATCCAATAATCAGGGCTCAGCTCTCATCTCCTCCCTTGAACCGTCAGCAGCAGGTTACCAGCTCCGTGTGCTCACTTGGCAGGAACAAATCACACTCTACTTATCTTTCTCTCCCTGGCCACCCATCGTCAGTGTCCTTGGCTGGGCACTTCCTCTGCTCCCCAACCTCCACACTGGAGACCCAGACTCAGTCCTTGGAGGCTACTTTATCCACCCCCTCGCTGGGTGATTTCTTACAGTCACATGGTTTTATAAACAACCATTTTCTCTCCAGCCTTTCCAGATCTTATGTCTCCAGCCTGAACCCTGCAACTTCAGGCCTGTTTATCTGTTTTTCACCATTTGGACATCTAACAGATCACTTCAAATTTGACTGAGTCTCCAAAACTGTGCTCTCAGTGCCCCCCTATAAAACATGATCCTCCCAAAGCCACCATTTCCTCAGCACAAGAACTCCAAGTAGAGACTCAATGGACTTGCCCAGTGAGTGAGTGAATGATTGTTCTCTGTGGGTCTGTCCTTAGCCAACTCTAAGGCCTGGGGCTGCCGCTGCTCAGAGGCTCCCTTCCTGTGCTTCACGGTTTGAAATCATGCTCCAGATGAAGGCTGACCTCATGAAAGTGGGTATATCAGTTAGGATTAGGTATCAGCTGCATGTAATGAGAAATCCTAACATCATAGTGGCCCAAACAAGAAGGTTATTCATGTTTACATGAAAGAGGTCCATGGGGAGGCAATCCTAGTTGGTATGGCAGCCCCAGTACCATCAGGGATCAGATTTTCTAGCTGCCATCCTTACCATGTTTCCTCATGATCCAGGGTGACTGCCCAGGTTCCTGCTGTCACCTCTAAGCCAGGTGGAAAAGAGTAGAAGGAAGGTATGCCCCTCTTATTCAGGGAGACTTTCTAGAAGTCTCACACTCTTCCACTTCTTGATTGTGGAAGAACTTAGCCACATGACCACATTCAGATGCCAGGGAGATTAGGAAATGTCATCCTTCAGTTGGGCAGCAATAGGCCCAACTAAAAATCAGAGTTTTGTTACCTGGGAGGAAAGGGAGTATAGAGATTGAAAAGCAGCTAGCAAAATCTGCCACACAGGGCTACGCTTCAAGCACAAGCCATAGGGGCATGAGGTGGCAGCAATCCTTAGGAGACTAGCTTGAATCATGGGAAAAGAATGTATTTTAATTAACATATATCTGGGATCTTGTGTAAATGAGGCCTTTCTAGTGGTTGAGAGTTTTGAACTTGTGTCTGCTGGAATGTAAACCTCCTCAGAAATCTCATTTTTTGTTTGTTTGGTTTTTAAATTTTTATTTTTTTAAGGCTGGTCAAGTGGAGCAGTGGGAGTGGAGAAGGAACAAAGGAATCTGTAACTCGTTGTGATCAAATAGTTGTAAACACCACTGCACTCAGGCCAACCAGAAATCTCATTTTTATCTAGAAAGGATTCACTAAGAAAAGGAGAAGCTTTGGTCCAGCCTACCAAGTTGCCTTAAATATGAGATAGTCAAGTCCTGATTAGTGGAATTAAAATCAATATGAGAAAAAATTCAATAAGCTCGGGAATTAAATCACACTTCCCATATAGATGGTTTTTCACCATTAAAATAAAGCTAAATCCAGGCATGATGGTGGGTCTCTGTAGTCCCAACTACTTGGGAGGCTGAGGCAGGATAGCTGGAGCCCAAGAGTTTGAATCCAGTCCTGGCAACATAGCAAGGCTCGTCTGTATAAAAAATAGAATAAAGCTGAGAATGAATGAATACAGCTGAGATGCTAAAAGCATGCATCAGAATTGGATGAACTTTAATACTTGTTTCTTACCCAAAGATGGGATTGCTTTGATGAAGTTCATAGCACAATTCCAGGGGGATTCAGAATTCAAAAATCTCTTTCCCCCACACCCACCTTCACAGCACACCTGCTCTGTGCCAGATGTGGGGGTGCAGAGCCCATGTTCCAGGAACCATAAGGCCCAATAGGGAACTAGAGCTGCAGGGCAGGACAGTTTAGTCAGACCAGGCTCCAAAGGGGCTCTTCTCTCCCATCCCTGCCTTCAACCTGGTCCATGCAGTCATTTCTTCCAGTTTATTCCATCCAGGCTCATCTTAGATTGGGTTGGGGAGGTGGAATTGGCATGCTTCTCTTCCACCAAAGGGTGCCTTGGATCATCCTTTCTTCAGAATATTCCAGGCTTCAGAACAGGAGGGGAGGACAGGGAAACCACCCTATTCTGGGAGCAGTTCCCACACAGACCACTCCCTCTCACCACCCATGTCGGGCACAGGAAGGAGTCCTTTTTCTGGATGTATCCCCAGTTCCTCCAGGCAAGGCTGTGTCCAGAGGAGATTCGGGAAGGCTGGGGGTGTGGGGGCCCCATCCTGGGGCAGCCCAACCTTCAACATGACTGGGGGGAGCAAGAAAACTCATTAAATTGTTTCTATAAAAATAGACTTCTTGGCCAGGCGCGGTGGCTCACACCTGTAATCCTAGCACTCTGGGAGGCCAAGGCGGGCAGATTACTTGAGATCAGGAGTTCAAAACCAGCCTGAGCAAGAGCGAGACCCATCTCTACTAAAAATAGAAAGAAATTAATAGGCCAACTAATATATATGGAAAAAATTAGACGGGCATGGTGGCACATGCCTGTAGTCCCAGCTACTCGGGAGGCTGAGGCAGAAGGATTGCTTGAGCCCAGGAGTTTGAGGTTGCTGTGAGCTAGGCTGACACCATGGCACTCACTCTAGCCTGGGCAACAAAGTGAGACTCTGTCTCAAAATAATAATAATAATAAAATAAAAATAAATAAAAAAATAAAAATAGACTTCTTACCTAGGTTATATTTTTCCTTGTGAGTCCTGGAATGTGTGAGTGTTATTTTCCTTCATTATGTTGACAGGGTGCCTCTTTCACACAGTTGTGTCTCATTCAGAGAGGTTACCAGGAAGCAGGCCAAGGACTTTAGAACTCAGCCTGGGCCTCAGGGGACTCTCACAGGCAGAAATCCCCTTAGGGACAGGAGGCTGGACCCCCCTCCAATCCCAGCTCAGTATGGGGGGGGGCGGGGGGGGGTTGTTGTTTGTTTTTTGTTTTCGAGACGGAGTCTCACCCTGTCGCCCCAGGTAGAATGCAGTGGTGTCATCACAGCTCAATGCAACCTCAAACTCCTGGGCTCAAAAAATCCTCTTGAGTAGCTGGGACTACAGGCACAAACACACCCAGCTAATTTTTCTATTTTTTGTAGAGATGGGGTCTCACTCT